TAAAGGATTTCTAAAGGATGAATTTTATTTTTCATGCCAAATAAAGCCTTAACTACTATATAATAAACATTAGATAACGTTTAAACCCACCACGCTAAGAAATATCTGGCCTGTGAAAGTTTAATATTATATTAATGAGAGTAAAGTGGTTGTGATATCTAATAAATATTTGTAATATTTCTCTACTGGATACCATTATTAAACATGTTACAGTTTCCAGTAGTTTACAGGCAGTTCCCCAATTACGAACGAGTTATGTTCCGAGACTGTTTGTAAAGTATTTGTTCGGAACACGGAGAGAGATTTTCTATTGGCGCAATTTCCTAAGTGGGAGCTGCATTCCCAGGCCATCAAATATCCTCACAAAGCCAATATTTTTGGGACATATATTATAAACAAATTTATTTACTTTGAATGATCGAGTCATCTAACTTGTCAAAGTTAGCTGTTTTTGAAGAGTGACGGTATAATTACATGAATCTATATAAATAAAAATGGAAATGTTCGTTTGTTCAAAATCGCTAATCTCCGAAAGTTCTTCACCGATTGCTTTTAAATTTTCACACAATGTTCCATTCGTATCAGAGCGGGTTTTTATATACATATTATATTGATGTCACGTCTGTGATGGAAAAACATGCTTTTTTTCAAAAACAGTTTTTCATGTGAGAGAAATCTTCGAAACCTCTTTACCAATTGCTTTGAAATTTTAACACAACGATGGATTTGAATAGGCGCATGTTTTTATATTCTTACTATATACATGCCTCACCTGTGATGGGGAAAAACATGCTTTTTCAGATAAACAGCGCCATCATTTGGATGTAAGAGCAACACATGCTGTTATCTCCCAAAAGTTCTTCATTGATTGCTTTGAAATTCTGACAACGTTCCATTCGAATATGCGTGCGTTTTTATATGCCTACTATATAGATGCCACACCTGTGACAGGTAAAAACATAATTTAAAGAAAAAACAGTGCCATCTGTTGAACGTAATAGTAACACACACACACTACACTAAATATGTTATGATTTCCACTTCAATGTTTCCGACTACATTAAGAAATTTAATTTTCATACACTTCGATTCATTTTAATTTTGATTTAATTATTTTGTGTGACATTGTGTTGGAATTGAGCTGTGTTGTTTACTACACCGTTCATTTCGTAAGTATATGTATAGATGCCACACTTGTAAATGGTTAAAACATTTTTTATTTTTTTTTAAGAAACAGCCCCATCTGTTGCACATCAGAACACTACAATAAATATGTTACGATTCCATTTCAATCTTTGAGATTGCATTGACAAATTAAATTTTTATATATTTTTATTTATTTTTATTTAATTATTTTGTGTGATATTGTGTTGGAATTTTGCTGTGTTATTTACCTTACCGTTCATTTTGTGAGTATAAGTATAGATGCCCCACACACCTGTGACAGTAAAAACATGCATTTTGGAAAAACAGAGCCATCTGTTGCACGTAAGAACAACTCACGCTATACTAAATAAGTTACGATTCCATTTCAATTTTTCCAATTTCATTGATAAATTGAATTTTTATAGATTTCGAATGATTTTAATTTTGATTAAATTATTTTGTGACACTGCCCTGGAATTGAGCTTTGCTGTGTACCATACCGTTCATTTCGTGAGTATAGTTTATTTTTTTATTTCTTAATTTTTTTCATTTCGTTTTTTAATTGTTTTTCTTGTATTTCAGTGATGGGATCATCAGATCATTTGATGTTCCCAATTTTCTGATGGGAACATCAAATCATTTGGGAATGCATCAGATGAGGGAGTGGGGAGGACGAGGGGACGGGAGTGGGGGATGGTACTGAGGATGACGGGACAAGGGAGGGGGTAATGATGGGGAGGAAGAGGGAACGGGGGAGTTGGGGATGAGGGAACAGGGGAGAGGGGAATGATAGGGAGGCCGGGGGGAGTGGGAGATGGAGGAGAGTATGAGGGGATGGTGGAGTGGGGAATGGTTAGAAGGACGAGGGGATGGTGAAGTGGGGGATATTGGGGAGGACACAAGGATGGGGGAGGGGGAAAATGGTGGGGAGGACGAGGGAATGGGGAGTGGTTGGGAGGACAAAGGGAAAGGAGAGTGAGGAATGGTTGGGAGGACGAGGGGACTGGGAGACAAGGAAAAGGTTGCTGTGGCTCAGCAATGCACATGCGTTGCTGAGCCATAGCAACGCGTGGCCGGGTACAGCTAGTACAAAAATAAAAATACATGTGCACAGTATTGGTGGTTCGTAATTTTGTAATTGGCCTCACAAGTAAATGCCTCTCCACTCTCTTATCACCATCCCGCAGACCCCACCCCACCAACAGAGCAAAGACGATCAAATCATGCGAGTGTGGGTCATTGAAGACTTGAGCCCACTGGGGTATGGGAGTGTATCACACACCCAGCCACACAAACATACATCCCGTAACCATGACCCACCCTCCTACCCCTGACAGCTGAGAGGACAGCACTTCGGATTCGTAGTCCTGAGGTTCCGGGTTCGATCCCCAGCGGAGGCAGAAACAAATGGGCAGAGTTTCTTTCACTCTGATGTTCCTGTTCACCTAGCAGTAACTAGGTACCTGGGAGTTAGACAGCTGATATGGGCTGCTTCCTGGAGATGTGTAACAAAAAGGAGGTCTGGTCGAGGACCGGGCCGCGGGGATGCTAAGCCCTGAAATGATCTCAAGATAACCTCAAGAAGATACCCCACCCATACAATACTGTACTCCATGTGGCTGCCACACGGATGTTTGCAATGCCTTGAAATTCAAAGGGACAATCCAGCGAGTTATTACAATGATTTTATGCAAGAAGGGGGCTACATGGGGACCTGGGAGAATGTTGGTATGGACGAATGTCTAGAAGGCAAATGTTTATAAAGCGGGAACTCCCTGTATTTGCTTTTAAATTCAAATTCAAAATACAGATAAAATGCTATTTATCTACTGCTGAAAGTTTGAATCCAACACAGCTAATTAAACTACGTTGGTAAACTATACTTATTAAACTGAGATTAATGACAAATCTCACTTTGTTTTTACAATAAGAATAGTAAGATATTTGCACAGTTTATATCACAATTGGATGACATGACAATTGGAAGTAGAACCAATATGAACTACTCATACCATGATGTTAAAAGTATTTACACACCTCAACATTTCTGAATGGAGCTCCCCCCTTCCCCAGTGGCTCCCTGAAGCTATCTTGCTGAGATTGCTCTATACTAAAAGGTCACATTAGTTGCAGAAGTTCTGTTTGGTCTGCTGGGTACCAGAGCCAAAAGTGGGGAGCAGGTGACAATTCCAAAGGGAAATAGCCTTCAGAAAGTCAGCTCAGCTTTACAGACAACTAGATGCTTCACAGGAGACGAAGCTTTGAAACTACCAAACTCTGCCAACGATTCATACAAATCAAGGGTTCATTCAAACTAGCTCAGAACACATTAGTACCGATTTCTGCCACCAGTAGACCCGGCCCCCTCAGTCAACTCCCCGCCTCAGTTCTAGCAATGCCCACCAGAAAAGTTATTTGTAATGCTCGTATTGTGTTAATGAGGCTGGGAGTGGTACAGTACAGACAGACAAGTGACCAGTCAAAGCAGCCAGTGCTAGGATGGCTGATTAAGGGTGTAAAGCATCTTCACCAAAAAATGCTTGGCCTTTCCAGTGAAAATGCCGGAACTAAACCAAACCTAACATAATCCTCAACTCTCAACATCTTGTCCAACTACTTAGGCTGGACGGTAGAGTGACGGTCTCGCTTCATGCAGGTCGGCGTTCAATCCCTGACTGTCCAAGTGGTCGGGCACCATTCCTTTCCCCCGTCCCATCCTGAATCCTTATCCTGACCCCTTCCCAGTGCTATACTGTATAGTCGTAATGGCTTGGCGCTTTCCCCTGATAGTTCCCTCTCTCCCTCCCTCTCAACATCTCGGCCTCAACCCTCAGTTAACACCACCATACTTGCCTATACAGTATATCATTCCATGATAATATGTGGAGAAACATCTAGTCAGTTGGCGAGTACCCATATTTATTGCTGCTGTATTACCAGTATTCTGTGGTGTTTTGTTTAAAGTATCTTAATACATACACACGTACACAATACAGTACATATGTAATTTTTTCTTACTGCAAGGAAGTGATCTTTGCAATGAGTATTTAAATAATAACTGCTGTAGAGTGTATTCTTAGAACTCCTTTCAAAGGAGCAGCAAGCCTTGCACATGCACAGTGGTGTATTTACCATGAAAAAACTGTCGCGCTTCTAAAAATAAACAATTCAAGTGCATTTCTATGATAAACATTTACAAGTACAGTACATTCTGTAATTAGAAACCATGTTGAAAAATATAAGTGATAAATGTAGTAAACCAGTTCTAAACATAATAAGAAAAAAAGATTTGAAACAAAAAACACTGGAACATTTGGCGTGCTGGGTCAACATGAGCCGACACTCGTTTACTCTGGGTTGTGTTGTGGAAAGAGACGGTCACCCAGCTGGCGTTAACCTTGTGTCTGCCCAATTGTCCCACGTGTAGCTAAGTGCAGTGGATAGAGTTTGTGTAGGATTTCTATGTTATTAAATATCCCTGTGGTGACTGGCAACTGTGCATGACTTTTGCCTTGTGTGTATTATGTTAAAGTTTGTGTTTAGTACCATTCCCTATAAAGTTTTATATTAATGTTTGCTTGCCTAACATTGGCATTTTCACTTTTTTAATGTTGGTGTAACTGGACTAGATCCAATCAATCAAGAACACTGGAGTGCTTTTGATATTCAAGAAATGTATGAAAGTCCAGTATTGATATTGGGAATTACAGGTTACACATACTAATTTATTAAGTCTTGGCTTTTGTTGGGCCAATAGTCATTTTTCTAAGATGTCATCCAGTGGTACTAGTAAAAGCCAAGTTCACGATATAGTTTACCCTTAACCCTTAAGGCAATGAAAATAAAACAAACTGTTAAACTATAAACTATTATTTAAAACTGTATTCTGTATACATTAACTAGACGTGCCTCTAATAGTGAAAAGGATGAGTTTCCTGTTAAGGTATTTCTTTGGGGTGAATATTTATAATATAAACTACAGTAATGTGATGTATGCAGTGCCTCTGAGGAACTCTCTCTATTTTCATAGAGATTCCATAATTATATATTCAGAACATTTAGTAAGGATGAGTTTTGATACTTGTGCCCCTGCATGAAATACTCATGCTCATACATGACAAAAAACCCATGCCCTTACTATGTCATCATGATTATCAGCATAATTTAATGTCAATTAAATGTATTTATTGTGACCCAAGTACATCTTGTACCTAACATCAATACAGTACGTACTAATTATAAATATTCCATCACTATGCTAAGGAATGCGTCGTGGTATTGTCTCGTAATGGCTCCAACTCCAGGAAACAGGCCAATAAGAACCGCATTTTGGTCCGAAATCCTTGAAGGACTTCTTCCTTTACTCTGTCAAGAAAATGAATAACATTGGATGGAGTTAATTGACAGACCTGCAGAGAGGAAATGTAGCATAAATAATATAATAATTTATTTATAAAAATACTACAAATGGTTTGTAGTATTTGGTACAAATGGTATAATTTTTACATATGCGATATTTATATTTTTTATGTACTGTACCAATTAATTCTCACACAGCATTTTGGGAGAATTAAATTCATAAAGATGATAACACAAATACCTTGTGATTATAGTAAGGACAAATGTGCTTGAGTGTGAAGGCATTTGAATAATATGAATTAATGAGGAAGATTTGTGTAAAAGTTTAAATATGAGGTACAGTAATTATAATTGACATGCAAGATATTATAAGCAAAATTTTTAATAAACTTCCATTACATTATATGGTTTGATAATGGTCCAGGGTGGTCCAAAACATTGTCAATTCATTTATCTTCAGATTTGTGGATTGGGTTGGATTCATTTAATGTAATGCTTTACCTGGCTTAAGGTATAGGCAGGCTTTACCTGCCTTTCACACCTACTGTAATGTTATTGGTATCTGCCCAGGCAAGTCAAATTACTTACTCCTCCTCCCACCCTCCAATTCACTTGAATATGCTCTATACCAGTCCACTATTATCCACCCCATATGCTTCTCAGATTGTTTTCTTCTACTAATCTAATTATCGATTTTTAAGCTCATACCATGCCATTAGGGTCAGCATTACTTAACTTTCATGCAATTTCTATTTTTCTTCTGTAAACTAAGGTACCATAGTAATGAAGATAACTAACCTTTCTTCTGGAACTGACAGTTTAGGGAGCATTTCTATAGCTTCTTGAAAAGATGCCCTGAAAGAAACACAAAAACAAGATTAATACCCATAACAAAAATTTAATACGGTATAAGATATGACATTGATTAGTACAAAATAAAGCCCTGTATAATAAACAAAATAATACTCCGGAGTTGGGATATTGTTCTGGTTTGCATCCTGGTGAAGGTTAGTCAGTAGGTGGCTTAGTGGGAGCTTGATAAACTTAAGTACAAGGTCCCTGGTTTCCAGAAATGGGAAATTATTATTATTATTATTATTTATGGGGGGGAACCCCTTGTGGCTCCTTGAAGCTATCTCACTGAGATGCCCCCTAACTACTGGATCGTATCAGCTGCAGGGACGAGTTCAGCCTATCAGGGACCCGAGGCAGAACCTGGCCCTCCCTTGCAGAGAGCAGGTGACACTCCACCACCTTATCGGGGAAGGCACCCAGAAAGTCAGTGAATCAATCCACACCACTGTTGGGTTCCAAGAGACTGAAGCCTCATAACCGGCTGAACGAACTCCCCCTAACACTGTAAACAAATTATCGAAAATGTTTTGAAACAAATACTGTACTGTATATGCTTGCTTGCCGCACCCCTCCCTCCCATTTGGGGAGCAAGAGGCTGTCACCTGGCTCAAGCCCTCAGTTCCTCTGCTGATGTGATGCCTTCCAGATATCTGCAGTAGGGCCCCCCCCAGGGTTGTCAGTAGCCTCTACACTGACAGCTCTCTTCTCTGGTGTGTTCATTAGTTCTCTTCCTTAGAGGTCCTTCCTGTGTGGGGTGATCCTTACCTTAGTTGCAGTTCTTGGTGGCCCCCAATTCTGTCTCTGTGGATGCTTTCTAGGTCAATTCTGTTTCCTTGGTTCCCTGTTCCAAGGCTTGTTTCTCATGTTGTCTGCAGTGTCTTCAAATCTAGCCAGCCTTTAGTTTACTTTTATGCCTATATGTTCATAAACACTTTGCTCTTGCAGCCCCTTTTTCCAATATATTCGAGGTTGATATTCAGGTGCGGGGATTTTTGGTAATAGCACAGGGTACTGGTAGACTGGTACAAGGTTAATACAGTGGTACCTCGGAATGCGATTGTCCCTGTATGCGAGGTTTTCGGAAGGCGAGGTGTATTTACTCCAAAAATTTGTCTCGGAAGGCGATGGTTACTTCGGGAGGCGAGTTTGGACGCGAGTTTGTTGATACGCGTACAGCCGACCTAGCGCGTGGTGGTTCGGCGATCGTCGCCCCTCCGCCCCGCCGCCCCTCAGTTTATTATTGTCTCGCGCTCAGTGACTACCCCCACATCAATTCTTCTCGCGGATTTTCAGTGTTTTGTTGGATTTTTGGTGATTTGTCTATACAATTTGTTATTATATATCTCACCATGGGTCCCAAGAAAGCCAGTGGTAAGGATAAAGGCCAGAAAGCTCATGTGAGGATGACAATAGAGGAGAAACAAGAGATCATTCGGAAGCATGAGAACGGTACACGTGTTGTTGAACTTTGTAGGCAGTACAACAAAGCCACATCAACAATATGCACTATACTTAAGAAGAAAAATAAGATTATGGGTGCTAAAGTGGCAAAAGGAGTAAGAACATTAACGGCACAAAGACCACAAATACTTGAAGAAGTGGAAAAGTTGTTATTAATTTGGATACACGACAAGGAGTTGAGGGGTGATAGTGTTTCGGAGGCCATTATTTGTGAGAAAGCCAGGGTGTTGCACGAAGACCTTCTAAAGAATACCCCTGCAACGAGTGATGCAGATAAGAAAGAGTTTAAGGCAAGCAGGGGCTGGTTTGAAAAATTTAGAAAGAGAAGTGGTATCCATAGTGTTACAAGGCATGGGGTTATGTGATGTGATTATGGAAGGGGACTCCCCTTCCAAACAGTAACTCCTCTCCTCCTCCCCCCTCCTCACCATCTTCCATACGCCTACAGCACTCGACAGCAAGGTAAGTAATAACTGGAACACAGTTTTGTAGGTTTATTTAGATGAATTAGGTAAATTAGGTATAAAAATTTAGTTTGATGTGGGTTTTTTGGGGTAGTCAGGAACGGATTAATTCATTTCCCTTTATTTCTTATGGGGAAATTAACTTCGGAATGTGAGTTTTCGGAAGGCGAGGCGTCTCCAGGAACGGATTAAACTCTTATTCTGAGGTATGCCTGTATTCCCAGGGCACATCATTTTTGTCTGGCACTGGGCCGTGTCTATCAGCCTGGTGTCTTGCCTTCATGTTGACTGCCTGCAGTTTCTTCCTCACCCCAGTGAGTCCCTGTGTTTTTCTTCTCCATGGATAATTAGGTTTAGGGAGCCACAAGGGGCTTCAATTAGAAACCCAGTGTTGAATGTAAAGAAATGCCAATTTCTGAGCGAGTCTGGCGACGTTCCAATTCTCATCCCTCCCTTACGAGTCATTGGTTGGGGATTGTTCTGCATGCATCTGCTCCAGAAATGTGGGCTCGAGCTAGTGGACATGAGCCTTGGCACCCCCTCCCCTTCCCTCCCCAAATGAGTGAGAGGGTTGGGGCGAACGAACACAAGCTTGTTTCTGAAATTTGTTATCCTTTGTTTACATTACTGAGGGAGTTTGTCTGGCGGGTCTCTTGGAACCCAGCAGTATTTTTTATTTATTCGCTGACTTCTTGGGTGCCTTCCCCCAGTGAAGTGGTAGTGTGTCACCTGCTCTCTATGCCTTTGTAATGTAGGCCAGGCTCTGGCTCAGATTCTTGGTAGGCCGAACTCATCCCCACAGCTGATGTGATCCAGCAGTTAGGGACCATCTCTGTGAGATAGCCCCAAGGAGCCACAGGGGTTCATCCAGAAATTGGCATCTCACTATATTCAATGCTGTTTTTTCTTTGTGCATCCCCAAGTAGCTGATTTTGGACACTTGTGCCAAAAAATCCCCCTAACTTCCTCTACAGCCTCTGCCAGTTCACCTGGAATTGATTCAATCAGCTTCTTGGCATCCTTGTTTCAGGCTCTTGAGCAACTATGTTAATCATATGTGACAAAAACACATTTTGGCTGAACAACAGTGATTGGTGAGAAATAACCAATGTTCTTTGGGAAAGGAAATAATTACTGGATGAAGAAATTCTAGCTTTACATGAATCTTGATTAATAATGAACTATTCTTCACCTTGCACTTGAAGATATGTGGCTGCTTAGTACTGCTGTGAGAGCAGCTAGATCAATATGTGCTTGGAGAGCTCCATATTTGGACCAGGTACCAACACAGGCCATCAGACGAGACATCTCTTCTCCCACACCTTCCACCACTCGGCCAACTAGTCCTCCAACCAGGCCAGGCCACACACCTACAACCTGTAAAATGTTAAATAAATATAAATCCTGTAATAAACCTCGTTCCATAATCAAGAGCACTATAAAAAAAAACTTTAAAATCATTTAAACCGATCCATTTGGAAGGCCAAAACTAGAAAGAAAATGTATACTATACACTCTTAGTACAGGGATTAGAAGGGAATTTATTACCAAGTTGGGAAAGATAAGAAAGCACAGCTCTTGAACAGAGTAACTTTATTTGACAAGAGACTCGTAAACCAGTTTAGCTTTTATAACAGGCAAGCAGGATGGATCTCATCACATAAGAAATATCCGAATGCATGGTTTACTAGCACAATGTGATACATATGCACCACAAAGTAATGGTCAACAATATAACCTATCTACATTAACCCTTTAACTGCGCAACACATCATATGATGTGTTCAGTGACTTGCAGTAACTTGTGCTCCACATCATATGATGTATTGGAGCACTACGCAAGATTTAAACGGCCCACGGATACACAGGGTTCACCACACCTTCATCAGGGCTCTTGTAAACAGACGCCATTTAAAAAAAAAAATCGTGGGCCAAATTCCTGGGTGTGAGGGGCCTCAGTATTGAGTGAGCTACCAAGCCTGACACATGCAGCATGAGCTCACAGCATTGCTGTTCAGCTTGTGAAAACATCATCGCCTAAAAATGCCATAATATACATTTGCATGCTATTATTTAGCGATGATATTATTACAGAAGACCCCTGACTGTGATAAAAATTATCAGGATTCTGATAATAGCACAGATTGTTGTGATAATTAGCACTGCAGTGGGAGGATTAATCTTGGTGGGGAGGGAGGTAGCATTGTCTGCTGACTCTGTGTGACCACCTTTTACTGTCTGGACTCACTATACCAGCTTAGTTGTTCGCTATGGTAAACAACACATGCAGATACTTATATATAACGTCTGTATATAAAAGCAAAAACAGTATGGTGGGAGGGGAATGGTGGCGAGTCAGGTGAGGTGAGGGAGGGAGTGGCAGCCAGTGACGGGCTGCCACTGCCACTCAGCATACCAACTTAGTGGTTCGTTATGGTGAACACGAATGTAGATACTTATACATAACGTGTATATATAGTGTAATAACAGCAAAAGGATTGTGGGGGAGAATCCATTTTGGTGATGGGTGTGGCAACATCTGCATGATTTGTCATGTTGGTAGGGGTGGCCACTATGCTCTTTGGGCATTATACCGGCTTAGTTGAACAAAACATGTAGATACTTATATATAACGCCTGTATATAGGGTAATAACACCACAAACAGTATTGTTGGGGGTGAAATTTTAGTGCATCTGACCTTGAATGTGTGAGGGGAGGCAGCCACCAGCTGACTGTGTGTAACGACGTCTCTTAGTGCCTGAACTAACTATATCAACTTAGTTGTACAGTTGTGGTGAACAAAACATGCAGATTTACACACAGACAGTATGGATTTCGATCTGGAAGATCCTGTGTATCGAATTTACTCAGTTTCTATGATCGAGCAACAGAGATATTACAGGAAAGAGATGGTTGGGTTGACTGCACCTACCTGGACCTAAAAAAGGCTTTCGACAGAGTTCCACATAAGAGGTTGTTCTGGAAACTGGAAAATATTGGAGGAGTGACAGGTACGCTTCTATCATGGATGAAAAATTTTCTGACTGATAGAAAAATGAGGGCTGTGATCAGAGGCAATGTATCGGACTGGAGAAATGTCACAAGTGGAATACCACAGGGTTCAGTTCTTGCACTAGTGATGTTTATTGTCTTACATAAATGATCTACCAGTTGGTATACAGAATTATATGAACATGTTTGCTGATGATGCTAAGATAATAGGAAGGATAAGAAACTTAGATGACTTGTCATGCCCTTCAAGAAGACCTGGACAAAATAAGCACATGGAGCGCCACTTGGCAAATGGAATTTAATGTTAATAAATGCCATATAATGGAATGTGGAATAAAAGAACATAGACCCCACACAACCTATATATTATGTGAGAAATCTTTAAAAAATTCTGATAAAGAAAGAGATCTAGGGGTGGTTCTAGTTAGAAAACTATCACCTGAGGACCACATAAAGAATATTGTGCGAGGAGCCTATGCCACGCTTTCTAACTTCAGAATTGCTTTTAAATACATGGATGGCGATATACTAAAGATATTGTTCACGACTTTTGTTAGGCCAAAGCTAGAATATGCAGCAGTTGTGTGGTGCCCATATCTTAAGAAGCACATCAACAAACTGGAAAAGGTGCAAAGACATGCTACTAAGTGGCTCCCAGAACTGAAGGGCAAGAGCTATGAGGAGAGGTTAGAGGCATTAAATATGCCAAAACTAGAAGACAGAAGAAAAAGAGGTGATATGATCACTACATACAAAATAGTAACAGGAATTGATAAAATCGATAGGGAAGATTTCCTGAGACCTGGAACTTTAAGAACAAGAGGTCATAGATATAAACTAGCTAAACACAGATGCTGAAGAAATATAAGAAAATTCACTTTCGCGAACAGAGTGGTAGACGGTTGGAACAAGTTAGGGGAGAAGGTGGTGGAGGCCAAGACCGTCAGTAGTTTCAAAGCGTTATATGACAGAGTGCTGGGAAGACGGGACACCACGAGCGTAGCTCTCATCCTGTAACTACACTTAGGTAATTACAGAGATCACACTAACGTGATGCATCAAATGAACAAATCCACAAGGGCCGTGACGAGGATTCGAACCTGCGTACGGGAGCATCCCAGACATTGCCTTAATCGACTGAGCTACGATAGGGTAAAAGAGTTGAAACCGAAGTTCTACTGAACTTACTAGATCCCGTAGCCTCTTCGAGGCACAAACCAGGGTTTTACACAACTCCCCCTGCACCCGAGCTATGTCAATAGGCCGTTCTCCCTCTTCGCCCTCACATCATTACACACAGAGATCACACTAACGTGATGCATCAAATGGAGAACAATAGAGAACGGCCTATTGACATAGCTCGGGTGCAGGGGGAGTTGTATAAAACCCTGGTTTGTGCCTCGGAGAGGCTACGGGATCCAGTAAGTTCAGTAGAACTTCGGTTTCAACTCTTTTACCCTGTCATGGCTCAGTCAATTAAGGCAGTGTCTGGGATGCTCCCGGACACAGGTTCGAATCCTCGTCACGGCCCTTGTGGATTTGTTCAAAACATGCAGATACTTATATATAACTTCTGTATATAGTGAATAAAAGCAAAAACAGTATTGTGGGAGGAGAATGTGGGTGAGTCAGGTGAGGTGAGGGAGGAAGTAGCAGCCAGTGGCGGGCTGCCACTGGCTGCCACTGCCACTGAGCATGCCATCTTAGTGGTTCGTTATGGTGAACACGAATGTAGATACTTATATATAACGTCTGTATATTGTGAATAAAAGCAAAAACAGTATGGTGGGAGGAGAATGTGGGTGAGTGAGGTGTTGAGGGAATGAATGGCAGCGAGTGGCTGGCTAGTGTGTGGCGGTCACTCCTCGTTGCTTTTTGACTCATAATAGCAACTTAGTGGTTCGTTATGGTGAACAAAACATGCAGATATTTATATATAACCTGTGTATATAGTGTAATAACCGACAAAGTATTTGTTCACTGCTTGATGAACATAACTGAATCAACAATATACACACCATATTCTTGAGTACAGTGATGATTCACTCATTTTATTATATAAATATATAATATTGCAGCAAAAAACCTACTTAAAATCAATCAGAGACATTGAAATAATTAGGTAATTATCTCTTTGTGGCCACTCCTGCCTGACAGCTGGGAGCAACAGACCGTCCGGGACGCACGCTGAGTCAGTGCCTGTTTTTTGCCAGACTTCCCCACCCTATAGCGGGCAATATATGCCACTTACGATTTTTTTATTATTTTTCCTGTGATCAGAGAACACAAATTAACAGGTTTAGAAGAATTTTTTTTTTCTTTTTTTTTGGTATGCGTCTGTGGTTGACAAATACTAAATATAAATAGCCCAGCGCCACACAAGGGTTAATAGACATGGGAACATGCCTACCTATTTATAACACTTAGATTATGGGCAAAATTATACTGTACTATACTTATCAGTGCTGGTTAACCCTTAATCCGCGCAAATAATATATATATATGATATCAGTGACAAAACCGAAACCGCGCACATCATATATATATGATTTCGTGTCCAGCGCTATAATTTAAATGCCCCGCCTGGGATAGGGGCAGCTATAGTACAGCAACGACCGATAGTTGCCAGATGCCACCTAGAAAAAAAATCCAGGCCAACATTCTTGGGTGTTAGAGCGTCAGTATTGAGCAAGCCACCAAGGCTGGCGCACGCAGCACAAGCTCACAACACCGCTGTTCAGCTTGTGACCACAGCATCGCCAACAAATGCCATAATATATATGATACTGCTATTATTTAGCAGTGATAGTATTACTGAAGCCCCCTGACTGTGATAAAACTGACCAGGATTCTGATAATAGCAGGATTGTGGTGATATTTAGCGCTGTGCTCCATGGAGGGAGGAGTAATGCTGTGGGAGGGAGGGTGGTGGCGTCGTCTTCTGACTGTGTGGCCACCATTTATTGACTGCACTCACCATACCAGCTTAGTGGTTCGCTATGGTGAACACAAATGTAGATACTAATATATAACGTGTGTATAGTGTGAGATAACAGCGAGAGGAGTAGGTTGGGAGCCGCCATTTTGGTGAGGGAGGAGTGTCGTCTGCACGACTTGGCATGTTGTTTACTGATGGCCACTATGGTCTTTGGGCACCATACCAGCTTATTTGTACAGGTATAGTGAATAAAACAGGTAGATACTTATATATAATGTGTTTATATAGTGTAATAACACCACAAACAATATTGTTGGAGGAGAAATATTAGTGTGTCTGGCCTTGAGGGCGGCCGCCGATCAGCTGACTGTGTGAGTAGCTACGTCTTTGTGCCTTTACTCACCATACAAGCTTAGATGTACAATT